TCCCTCCTGCACAAATCTTAATCCAGCTGAGTCCTCCTCTTCGGGGTGGCCATTTTAAACCACTGCTGCAGTCGTCTTCGGGGAGGAAAAGACCAAGCCCAGGAGGGGAGATGAGGCTCCTCTCACCCTGGCTTGCGGCTTCCCCTTACTCCGCCGCCCCTCCAAGGCAGCTTCAGCCCCTAATCGTAATGATCGGGGCTCTCCAACGAAAGAGCACGGACCATAGCCGCAGAGAGATGCGATCTACGGTCTGTCCGCGAGGAGGCTCCGCCTTCTTCCCCCGCCAAGGTGTGCTTCTCATCCCCATGGTCATGTGATCAAAATTCAGATGCGTGGCAAGAGGTTCATACTTATGACTGCTACAGTGTCACAGAGTCACATGATCCCCTTTTACAACCTTCTGACAAGCCAGGGGAAAGCCAGATTCACTTAACAACTGGGTTACTAACTTACCCTTTGCAGTGATTCAATTCAAAGGCTTAACAAATATCTCGTTTAACAACAAGACATTGTGGGCTCCGTTATGGTCATACATTGAGTGCATTTTCCTGCTTTGATCTCTCGATTTTGTGTCAAAGGGTTCTAATGTAGATCCCAGCAAGGGGATCTATTCCTACTAGTCTTCCAAAGGGTAGAGATTTTATTAGCCAAATATCCGGACCAAACCGCCTCCTGATCTGGCCACCGTTCGCTTGGACGGAAGCAGGCTTTCATGGACGGCTCCTCCCGTGATCTCTTCTGCGTCCCTCACTCTTCAAACTCTTTCGTTTCAGATGGCAGCCCTCCAGAGCCCCTTCTACGGCGATAAAATGAACCTCTTCTCCCTCTGCCAGAAGATTGAGCAGTGTGATTACCCACCTCTGCCAACCGAACATTACTCCGAGAAGGTAAGATCCTAGCCATGCGGCAGAACTTCTGTTCCAACCCAGGCTTCCCAAAATCACGAAGCAGACTCCTTGTCCTGAAGAAAACCCCTTTTATTTAGGCTAAAGGGAATTTCTCTCATTCACATCCAGCAAAGTCCCGGCAAACCGTCTTTCAAGAGTGATTTACGGAGTGAAATGGAATGGGATGGGATGGGATGGGATAGAACAGAATAGATTAGAATTAGAATTAGAATTAGAATTAGAATAGAATAGAATAGAATAGAATAGAATAGAATAGAATAGAATAGAATAGAATAGAATAGGGAATGGAATAGGAATAGAATAGAATAAGGAAAGAATAGAACAGAATACGGAAGGGACCTTGGAGGTCTTCTAGTCCGGCCACTTGCTCAGGCAGCAAACCTCATACCATTGCAGACAAGTGTCTA